GAACAACTCCCTGTTCCAAAAGAACAAATTCAACGACTTCAAAAACTAGTGTCATTAAGGAGATCCACTAGAGAAAGGATAAATGTTATTCCAGATGATTATATTGTATTTCTCCAAGAACATGAGGACAATAATGGATTGTTTGAAGATGATCCAATCAACTTCCTTCAGGCCATGAAAAGTTCTAACTCTCAATAGTGGATTGATGCCATGAATGAAGAGTACAAGTCTATGCAAGACAATAAGGTTTGTGAACTTGTCCCATTGCTAGAAGGTGCAAAACCAATTGGTTGTAAATAAATTTTTAAAATCAAGCAGGATGCAAACGGTAATGTGGAGAGGTATAAGGCACGTCTTGTAGCTAAAGGCTTTACTCAAAAAGAAGACATTGATTATACAAAGACTTTCTCTCCGGTTTCATCGAAAGACTCTTTTAGAACAATCATGATGCTTGTTGCTCATTTTGATCTTGAGTTACATCAAATGGATGTTAAGACTGTATTTCTCAATAGAGACATTGATGAGATAATATATATGATGCAACCAGAAAACTTTGTGTCAGGAGACCCAAAGAATATGAATTACAAATTAAGAAAATTCATCTATGGACTCAAGTAAGCTCCTCGTCAATGGTATTACAAGTTTCAACAAATAATTATCTCATTCGGTTTTGAGATGAACATTATTGATGACTGTGTATATCACAAGTTCAGTGGGAGTAAGTTTATTTTTCGGTTTTGAGATGAACATTATTGATGACTGTGTATATCACAAGTTCAGTGGGAGTAAGTTTATTTTTCTGGTTCTGTATGTCGATGACATTGACTGTGTATATCACAAGTTCAGTGGGAGTAAGTTTATTTTTCTGGTTCTGTATGTCGATGACATATTGCTTGTCACTAATGATAGACATATTGCATGAAATCAAGAGATTTCTATCAAAAAAATTTAAGATGAAAGATCTTAGGGAAGCCTCTTTTATATTAGGAATCTAGATACATCGAGATCGTTCTCGAGGTATACTTAGATTATCACAAAAAAGCTATATCGATAAAGTACTTAAAATATTTGGCATGCAAGACTGCAGACCAGGAGACACCCCTGTTACTAAATGAGACAAGTTCAGTCTCAATCAGTTCTCTAAAGGTAACCTTGAAATTCAGGAAATACAGAAGATTCCTTATACTTTAGCTGTAGGAAGTCTAATGTATGCTTAGGTGTGTACGTGTCCAGATATTGCGTACATTGTTGGGATGTTAGGCGGATACTTAAGCAACCCTGGTATGGATCGTTGGATAGCAGTCAAAAGGATAATGAGATATCTTCAGAAAATAAAAGATTATATGCTCACATACAAAAAATCAGAACAGTTGGAGGTTATTGGGTATTCTGATTCTGATTTTGCTGGATGCCAAGATAGCAAAAAGTCTACATCAGACTATATTTATATGTTAGTAGGATGAGCTATATCATGAAAACGTGTTAAACAAACACTTGTAGCTTCCTCCACTATAACAACAGAGTTTGTAGCTTGCTATGAGACATCCAATCAGGGAATATGACTGCGAAATTTTGTCACAGGACTGCGCATTCTGAAAAATGTTGAAAGGTCACTAAAGTTATATTGTGACAATAAATCTGCAGTTATGTATTCCAATTCAACAGGAGCTCAACTAAGTCAAAACATATTGACATTAAGTTTCTAGTTATGAAAGAAAGGATACAGAGTGGACGGATATCCATAGAGCACATTGTGATAGCTGATCCTCTTACTAAAGGATTGTCACCTAAGGTCTTTCATGAGCACACTGCTCATATGGGTGTGGTATTATTTGAGGATATCATGATTTAGTGAGAGTTTGTGATTATGGTGCTTTATGTTAGGTTATATTGTCTGATCAGAATAAAATATTCAGTTCATACACTCTGGTACATTATGTTGAGGTTGACCTCACTAAAGTTTAAGGTAAGACCAGTTAAAAATAGATATGTACTGATCACATTACATGTAATTTTCATGCTACACATTCATGATTGATCTATGTCATTTGATTATATTGGTATATGTGACCTTGATGGGTTTAGTTACGATAAATGTGATGAATGCCGCTTTAATCCTATATTGATATACTCAATGGACGAGATTGTTTGGAAATACCCTTATTTATGATAGTAATTTTTGAGCTCATAAGGTTATACACACTTTAAGAAAACATATGGTGCCCAAGTAAAAGATTGTTGGATTTAAATCTGATTAAATCTATTTGTGGGCACATATGTTATATCAGTGTGTGTTGCTATATTTACAGTTAACCCACATAAAGTGATCAATCAGGTAATCGGGTCAATGAGTATTTATGTATGTCATGGGCTAATTGTGTAGATACCAGATTACAATTCTAATTTAATGAGGGGCTAAATTAGAAAACTGTAAGTCTATATAAAAGGGTTATGGTCCCTAATCTTAGGGTTGAGTTCTCATTCTCTTATCCCCATCTAAAGAGAAATCTCAAGAGAGAACCCTCAAGATTAGAAGATCCAAAACCCAAATTTCCGATCCGTGCAATGTATTCAGGTATAGCTTCCACTCCTCTTTTGTTCTAATCTCTATGATTTAATCACGATTAAATTCAACTGCTACCATTAAGAGAATGATAATCATTGCTAAAAAAAAGTTTAATAATTGTCTAGTTTAACTTAGTTCCATACAAATATGAAGGAGCAGGGGAACACTTAAACAATGTTGTGAACACGTCATGGATAATCTATGGAGATTTGTGAACTATCATGAAATACATAGCCCACAATTCATGACATTATATTTCGCAAGAAAGTATACAAATATTTTGTAATAACTTTGGCTTCGTTTTGGTACCATAGTCTGCATAGTGTTTTCTTTGCTGTGTTTTTATAAAAAAACACCATGGTGTTATGTTTTCTCCTTAAAATGTTTTCAAAACACCATGTTAAGTATTTATGATCAACGCTAGTTTGACCCATTACAATATTAGTACTAAACATATATTAATATATTATATATTAATTATAATAAACTATTTTATAAGTAAAATGTTATAATATTTAGTTTATATTATTATAGTATTAGAAGTACTAAATATTATGCAATATAAAATTGTATAACATAGTATAATATTATATTATACTTAATGAGTTATATTATATTATAATTATTACATATTATTTTCAAATAATTATATATTTAATTATTTTAGTATATCAATTTGTTATTGTTATATATTATATTAATATTTTTATAATAATGTTATTTTATTATTAATATAATATTATACTATTATTAATATAATATAATATTATACTATTATTCATATAATATAATATTATTAATAATGTTAATATTAT